CCCAGAACTCTAGGAACATGAGGTCACAGGGAGACTTATGAGACCAACTGGCATGGATCCTGTGGAGCAGGGAAATTATTTTACTGCTATTGTTAAATAATCATCATAATTACCATTGCATTAATAATATAATTTACAGTATTGATATTGCATTTAGAGGTTTAAACAGTGTGTGTCTTTCAGAAAGACTAAGTTGCAGTTGACAGGAAGTTGCAGAGAGTTTGCAGAAGTGAAAGCAGAGCCTAAGTTTTTCTGAGGAGCAGGCTAGACAAGGCTATTTGAATTACTAGCTTATTCAAATTGTCTGTTATACTTTTATATTCTTTTATTAAGCTCTTAGTAGAGGCTCTTGATTAGAACATTTATTCAACATAGTACATGTAGTTTCAGTTCGGTTATTACACATAAGGATGAGCCTCTGGTCTGGTAAAAGGTCAGAAGTGCAACGGGTGAATTGAGAGAGCATTTGAGGACGACATAGACAGACACACACACTTAGTTAAAGAGAACCATTTATAGGTGGAAGTTTAATCATGTTTTGCTTGGGGTTGCAAAAAGAGCAGTTTGTCATAGAACTGCTGCTGATGTGTCAAGATGACAAGCGAGCATCCGGCAGTGACAGGAAGTACCGGCCATGAAGATAGAAGACAACGTTCTTTTTAAACTATGTTAAAAGTGGTTTTGATTTGACGTATGTATATATTCTGTCTGTGACGTATGAAGGGGCGTCATTAATTCAAACCCTGATGCTATAAAAATCTGTGTATGCTTTGATTAAGTTGAAGATCAATCCCTGTCTGTGTACAGACTGGTCTTCCCACGCATGTATTCATTAAAATCAATTGTTTGACCAAGATCTTCTGGACCAATGGTTGTTTGTACTCTCCTTCCTCAATTATGTGAACCTTAACAATCCTCATCAACTGTTCAACCTCTCCCTGATTCATGCCACCATTTCCACCTGTCTGAGGGCCACCGCCATCATTCCCATCCCCCAAAAGACTGGAATAGTCAACCTCAATGACTAAAAACCTATTGCGCGATCATCTCTAGTCATTAATTGTTTTGAACAGATAGTGTTTCAGCAAATCAGAGACTGACCATCCCAGTCCCTCAACACCCACCAGTTTGGTTACTGAGCAAATTGGTCCACAGGGGGTGCCATTACAATCACCCTTCACAGCACTGAGCCATCTGGAGAACAGGAAGAGCTATGTTCAATAGCATAATCCCAGACATCCTCACAACCAAACTGGGACCCTTTCAGATCCCCACTGCCACCTGCTCCTGAATAACAGATTTCTTCACCAACCAGCCTCAATCAGTCCGACTTGGCCCCCACCTCTCTCCCTCACTGTCACTCAGCACTGGATCCCAGCAGGCCTGTGTTCTCAGTGCCCTACTGTTTGCCATGTACACTTATGACTGTACACCAACCCACCCAACCAACATCATCATCAAGGCTCAGCAACAGCTGCACTTCCTCTGAGGAATCCTGAGAAATAATAACCTGGACCAGAAGCTGTTTCTGGCCTTCTACTTTTCCTCAGCATTCATGTTATTTATTCTTCTATAACCGATTCTTCTAGAGCCTTTATCCAGATATAATACAGACAGGCCACATATTACCCTTTTGTTATCTTTGCATCTGCGATTACAATGGTATTTTAAAACTAATCAACAACATATTTTAACCCCAACCACAACATCTGCTGAAACGTAGGTTAACCAAACTTTCTCTTATTAAACCGCATGCAGCATTAAGAGTTTATAGAAACATCCTAAATGACAGTGCTTCAGTGAGTAATGCATCTCATGAGCCTCAGATGGGTAAAAATATTTTTTTTGTTTTATTTATAAGCATTTATTTTTAGTTACCATCAGTAATAACACTGGAAAAGTCTCACTCTACTCCATTCACTTTTATTTACCTTTGAGTCTTTCTTTCTCACTTCACCCATATCTCTCTGTGTTGAAGCAGCATTGCTCTAATAAATGTGACTTTGGAGGCAGGAAGAACAGTGATCTGATGGCCTGAAGGCTCATGACGAGTTTATGATACGTGAATGGAAAATTTGTAGCCTTATGTGCTCCTGAGGCTGCAACTGTTTTGGTTTTAAAGTGCATATGGAATTGCCTTAGTTGATAAACGTCGGTATGCAGTGGAAGTTTGTTGGGCATCTACTCAGCAGTAGAGAGTGATGCACACCAACAAACACAATTAACACCTCTGGAATCTTGCAGTCTCACACCCAAGCCCAACCACACCCTGTTCTACACAGCTTGATGTTGCTTTGAGTACGGACCCCATCACATACATCACTAACATGTAATGACAATGAGGATACTTGTCCCGGGAGAATCTCACATGGATCTAAATAACCGATAACATATGTAAATAATTAATAATCGATGTGTGTAACTAATAACAGATATACAAAGGACTAATAGCACATTATATAAATAACTCATAACAGATGTAAATAAATAATATCAGATACTAAGACACAATATCTATGTCTGCATGAGGGCAGTTGCACAGACTTGTCCAGCTATCAAAACATTAAGAGAGCCTTTTCACTAGTTGGTCCTGTGCACTGATTCTTTAATACACAGTTTTCAGCATTTATCCAAGGGTTCATTAATAAAACAACAGCCCATCATAGCACAGCGTGAGTGGTGGAAAAACATAATGAACATGTGAACATGTGAATTTAGGTAATAAATGACTAGACCTGCTCAAGCCACTCCATGGAGCAGAAGATAAGGGGGGTGCTAGTGTCTTTACCTGACATTACATGATTGTGTGACAGTTACAGTTAAATCCAGGCCCTGCTATTGGCTGGGCCAATAGTAAGCCTTCTTTTTGAGTCTTACTATGTGACATTGAGAGTGACATTGGTTAAAAGTTAAAACACTACAAATAAAGAAATAAACTTTATAAACAGAGTAAGGTTATTCAAACTCCAAAACATAAACATACTGAGCAGTTCTTATTGGGATGTGTCTGTTGGGTTAATCAATATCTGCCCACTTCAAATTGTGGCAAGAAAATGGTAAATGGCCTGTATTTGTATAGCGCTTTACTAGTCCCTAAGGACCCCAAAGCGCTTTACATATCCAGTCATCCACCCATTCACACACAGGTGATGGCAGCTACATTGTAGCCACAGCCACCCTGGGGCGCACTGACAGAGGCGAGGCTGCCGGACACTGGCGCCACCGGGCCCTCTGACCACCACCAGTAGGCAACGGGTGAAGTGTCTTGCCCAAGGACACAACGACCGAGACTGTCCAAGCCGGGGCTCGAACCGGCAACCTTCCAATTACAAGGCGAACTCCCAACTCTTGAGCCACGATCGCCCATATAGAATGTCTAAGAGATGCATTATTTTTGATTTATTTATAATAATATATATGACATATATATGTATATGTATACGTATATAAATATGTATATGTATACTTATATAAATATATATATATATATATATATATATGGGGCAAACTCCCCATAGCTTGGGAGTTTGCCTTTATTTTTATATGCTCAGTGCAAATTTTCAGGTAAACACAATGCATTAATGTGGAATAGAATGTTTAATTAATCCCATCAGTACAAACAAAAGCGAGGCTCGACATCAAACAGTGCAGCTGTGGGTAAAAGAGAGCAAATGCAGCTCTGTAGTTGGATTTAACTTCATTTTGAATGTAGGACTTCTGAAACAATTTTGCCTCAGAGGCATTATTATTCAGTAAAGTCTAGACAGGCAGCTCAACTGAATGACAAAGAGTGGCTTTACTGAATTCTGGTAATGGATAAGTGGCTTTTTTAAAAAAGGAGCTCAGATCAAAGCTGCGTAGCCTGTTGTGATGTGAGCGGCTGGAGGTTCTGATGATAGAACTGTTTTGTCAGTGATGAAATGTCACCTGTCTGTCTGCCCACCAAATGAGCCGCTCCTCTGCTGTGTACACCTTCATGTAATCTTGTGTGGTGGAATAAAACACCCCACACCTCACGCTCAGTGCCAGAGCAGTGAAGGGACTGATTAGAGGCAAATCCCATGCAGAACATGTATGCATGAAAGAACTGATGGAGATTTACCTTCAGTACTGTGAGAACAGTATGTTACACCACTTTAAAAGATGCATATCGCTGTGTACCCCGGGCAGCTTTTGGACATTATGATCACTGCCTGCTCCATCTTATTCCAGTTTATAGGCAGCAACTCAAACTTGCCAAGCTTGTAGTCAAAACTGAAGAAGTGGACTAACGCAGCAAAGCAGGAACTGCAGGACAGTTTTGACTGCACTGATTGGACTGATTTTGAAGCTGCATCTGAGAACCTGGATGAGCTGACGGACACTGTGACATCATACATCAGTTTTTATGAAGATGTGTGTATGCCAACAAAGACCTTTTGCACATACAGCAACAACAATCCATGGTTCACTCCTAAACTCCAACATCTTTGTAAGGCCAAGGAGGATGCCTACAGAAGTGGTGACAGGGCCATGTACAAGCAAGCCAAAGCAAAGCAGCTAAAAGCATCTACTCCCAGAAGCTGAAAGAACGGCTCTCAGCCAACGACCCTGCATTAGTTTATTTATTTATATAGCACTTTAAAAACACACCTGGTAGACCAAAGTGCTGTACAGTACTAATATGCACATAGTAATAAAACCAGACATAGCAATAAAGTTAAAAAACAATAAAAAAAATGTCAGTTACCCACAGAGTTAAAAGCCAGGGAATAAAAATAGGTTTTTAATAAAGACTTAAAAACTGGCACTGATGTAGCCTGTCTAATATGGAGAGGAAGGTTATTCCAAAGCATCGGCGCGGCAACAGAGAACGCTCTGTCTCCTCTAAGTTTCAGCCGTGACTTTGGGACCGAAAGCAGCAACTGCTCAGCTGACCGAAGGGAACGAGTGGGGACGTGGGGCTTCAACAAGTCAGACAAATAGACAGGTGCCAGACCATTTAGAGATTTAAAAGCCAATTAGAGGACTTTAAAACGGATCCTGAATTCAATTGGAAGCCAGTGTAAAGAGGCCAAAATCGGAGGGATGTGATCAAATTTTCTTCTGCCAGTTAAAAATCCTGCCGCAGCACGTCTGAGGTGATAAAATGCTGATTTTACCACCCCGTTTACATGGTCATCAAAGGTGAGTGCAGAATCAATTTTAACTCCGAGATTTGTGATCGAACTCTTTAATTGGGAAGTCAAAGCTGCAAGATCAACATCCAGAATATGAGAAGAACGATTTGGGCCAAATAAAATTGCTTCTGTCTTCCGATCATTAAAATTTAAAAAGTTTTTTGTCACGGAAAAGAAGGACCCAGGCGCGGTTCTTGCTCACAGAAACACAGTGCGTTTATTTACAGTGAAACAGACAAGTCCAACAATCCGTTCAAAAGTGCAATTTTCCAATCGTGCTCGTCCCTTGCTCCCAGTGCGTTCCGTGTAGTAACTCCCTTAGTGTGTGTGCTCCCCAACTCGCTTCTCCGCTCGCCCCTCCTGGAGGAAGAAGGAAAATCCAGCGTTAGCCACACGCTAGCCGAATAACACACTCACACTGCTCGCACAGACTATACCAGTTCGGAGTAATAATCCCACGTCGACTGTCGCCGCGAGTCCAGGTTAAATACCCCTTTCTAGCCTGGAGGAATGATTACCAACCACTGGTCAGGTAATCAGCTGCAGGTGGGCCGGCAACAGCGAAGAGGGACTCCCAATGACGACAGTCGCCAGGACACGCCTCTCCCACGGCGCGCACTTCCGTAAACAACCCCGAGGGCCAGGGAGGGAGAAGCAAACATATATACAGAAAACATAAACACAAGCAGGGTCGTCCGGAAAGGGCCGTCCGACCGTGACATTTTTTGCCATCCATGCTTTGACATCAGTAAGGCAGTCAAGCCATAAAACAATTGGTAGAAAAGCAGAGAACAGACTTGAGCAAGAACCATGCATGGCTGGGTCAGCAATAGGTAGAGTCGGAGGTCTCAAACTAGCAACCTTTTCCACAAAATAATTAAGAAACTTATTGCACATAACCGCAGAAGAGTGCAAAAGAATATAGCCTTCCGGATTAAGTACAGAATTTATAGTGTTATATAGAACACGAGGGTTATGCGAGCTGGCAGCAATAAGTTGAGAAAAATAGGAGTGCTTGGCAGCCTTTACTGCTCTCTGATAGACTTTCCAGCTAGTCTTAAGAGCTTCCATAGAGACGCACAGCCTATCTTTTTTCCACCGTCTTTCACATCTTCTACATTCTTTTCTAGCGGCTCTGGTAAAATCAGTTAGCCAAGGACTAGCCTTTGGCTTGCATTGTCTGAATATAAAAGGAGCGACAGCGTCGAGGACAGATTTACAAGCAGAATCCAAACAAGAAACTAATCCATCTGAGATGGACAACTCAGGAGGATAAGAAATAAATTGGTCAAACAATATGGAAAACCGCTCGGCAGTATCTGAGCCAAAAGCACGATAACATCGAGCAGGTACAGCACGCTTAAGAACAGGATTAAAAAGAACAATATCACATAAAATAGGCATATGGTCAGAGAACACCGCATCCTCGACAAGTACGTTTTGGACAGATAAACCATGTGATAAAACCAAGTCCAGTGTGTGACCACGTTCTTGAGTGGCACCTTTAACAGACTGAACAAAGTTAAAAGAGTTCACTAAGTCCAGAAAGTCCTTAGCCAGGGGCTTCCCCGGGCAGCAGACGTGTATATTAAAATCACCAAGTAAAAGGATCTGGTCATACCGTGATGCACAGTCAGCAAGAAACTCTGAGAACTCGGATAAAAACTCCTTGTTATATTTTGGGGGCCGATAAACAATCGCACACAACAGCGAAGACGAGTGGCCCAGTTCGCACAAACAGAGTTCTGGTGTGGCGTGTTGATGGGGATAGCTGCTTAAAGTCAAGATGTGCCTTAAAAACAACAGCTAGCCCTCCTCCGCGACCAGAAACTCTCGGAACACTAAAGAAGGCACAGCCAGCCGGCAGTAATTCAGAAAAGGCACTTAACTCACCAGGTGGAATCCAAGTTTCAGTCAAGCAAAAAAAATCCAGCGCATGGGAAGCAAAAAATTCCTTCAAAATGAATGTCTTATTTGCCACCCATCTGGCGTTAATTAATCCCAACCTGAGAGGAATTGGCTCGGGAGCTTCCGAGGCAGCAACAACCAGATCCACAGGTCGGAGGTTTGTTTGGTCCACTCCACGCCAACGCAGATGTCGGAGAGGAGAGGGTTTCGCAGAACCCTTCTCAAGAGATCCCACAACAGGAACCAAGCAGGAGTCCACCGGGTCCAAAGCACGCAACGGCACCAAGAGTCGCGGGCAGGATCGACAAATTGAGCGAAGCTCATGAGGAAAACAAGAGATCCTGAGTCTCAGTTTGACAAGGCGACCTCCACAGTTACCTCGTCTCCTGCGTCGCTTCCACACATCCAGTGGCAGTGGTAAGGAGCACCAGTGAGGTGGTGTTACTGCCAAATCGGGAGGCAGAAAGCCTTGGTTGTCACTTCCAAACCGAGCTAAAGCTTGGGTAGATAAGCCTATTTCCAATAATGTCTGGCGATCATAAAACAATGTAGGGCTGACATGTTGCACAAAATTGACTAAAAACAATAAAATAAAACAAATAGAAGAGAGCGATAGACGGCGTGCCAAAGACACAGGTGCCACTGTTGAAGCAAGCAAAGACCTGGCCAACGGGCTAAATACATTCTACTGCAAGTTTGAGACGGACAGACTCCCACGCCTCACCCTCCCCTCCCCAGAGCCATTGTTTCAGACATTAACCCCCAACACACCTGTCACACCTCCCCCCTCCCACCTCACCCTCCCTAATCCAGACTCAACGACCACGCCCCCTCCTGCCATGACAGTAGGCCAGACAAAGCACACAGAAGCATCAGCTATGGTTCGTACATACTGTGTTGTCGGTTGCAACGGTAGATCACACGATAGGGAAGGCAAGAAGCTGGAAAATGGGCTCTCTTTTCATCGTTTCCCCTCCTGGAGGCAACGGGAGGGATCTCATGTATCCGATAATACTAAACGAAGACGTCAGGCTTGGATTGCAGCGGTCAGACGAGTAGATATCGAGTTCTCTGCCATCCCCAAATGAGAGCAATTGCCTACCTGAGAATTCATGTTGAGCGAGTAATAGGTAGTTTGTAGTGTGTAGCATTTTGAACTTGTTACACAATGCCAATCCAATTACTCATATCATGTGAGGGTGAAGACACAACACTGCTTGATAAGATTGTTAAGGTGTGCTGTGTTTTGGTGAATATGTGCCCCAGTGTGGTTGTCAAACCAGGGCCAAATGAAACTTGCTCTTGTTGAATATTCATAAAAGTGCTGTGTTGCATGTACAGTTCATTGTAAATAATTGTACTTTCTGTAAAGTGGTTTCAATAAAACAGAAAAAAGTATGTTTATTAATTTTTTTTAATTCAAGATCTGTTCACAAGTACTTAGCAAGTACTTGGCAACGCACAGCTGGCACAGCTGGCATCAATCGTGAATCATTCATCTAGAGCAATTTTTGGGGGCAGCTGCTGAGTAGAAGTCCATGTTATGTGCAACCTCTGGCTGTATCTTGGTCATACGGTCAACGTACTCACAATGTGGAGGCTTAAAAACTGCCAAATTTTGTACCCAACCGTTTGTGAATCAGATGTGCGCCTCCAGGAATTTATAATTCCGAAAATGATTTCCCCTATGCGCTGACTTCACAGACAAGGTACGCGAAGATATCGGGATAGGACAACGGCGGTAGACTGTCTGGGTTTCCACTCCACTGCCTTATTTCATACCCACATTACCGATGCACGCTATTTTTTCCAAGTACCATCTCTTGGCTTCACGGCGCAATCGGTCGCGATACAGCCCTTTTGCACTGATTTTAAGCATGGTTCTGGCAGTCCTGCTTCCAACACAGTGTGTTTGTTTTGATTTGTTGCCTTCTGACATGGTGCCGTGATACCACAATGCACTGCGGCGTGGCGTCAACTCCAAAGCCCTATTGGTGCCCCTCAAGGATGTGTCCTCTCACCATTATTGTTCTCCCTCTTCACCAATGACTGCACCTCAAAGAACTCGGCTGTTAAACTCCTTAAGTTTGCAGATCACCCACCATCAGGGGACTCATCAAGGATGGTGATAAGTCTGCATACCGGCAGGAAGTTGAGCGGCTGGTACTCTGGTGCAGTCAGCACAATCTGGAGCTGAACACGTTTAAGACTGTAGAGATGACAGTGGACTTCAGGAGACATCCCTCAACTCTGCTCCCCCTCACCATATCAGACAGGCCGGTGTCAACTGTGGAGATCTTCAAGTTCCTGGGTACCACCATCTCCCAGGACCTGAAGTGGGAGACCAACATCAACTCCATCCTCAAAAAGACCCAGCAGAGGATGTACTTCCTGAGACAACTGGGGAAGTACAGTCTCCCACAGGAGCTGCTGATCCAGTTCTACACTGCGGTCATTGAGTCTGTCCTGTGCTCCTCCATCACAGTCTGGTATGGTGCAGCCACTAAACAGGACAGGAGCAGACTGCAGCGGACTGTACGGGCAGCAGAAAGGATCATCGGCACCCCCCTGCCCTCCATCCAGGATCTGTACCTCTCAAGAACCAGGAAACGGGCAGGGAAAATCATCACAGACCCCTCACACCCTGGACACAGACTTTTTGATCTGCTGCCCTCTGGCAGACGGTACAGAAGCCTGCAGACCAGGACCACCCGACACAGGAACAGTTTCTTTCCCCTCGCCATCTCCCTCCTAAACAGTTGACCTGTCACACTGCTCCCACTGCCAGACTGCAACTGCACCTTATGTACATTCTGTAGTATTCATTCCACCTCATTTCATTTCTGTCATCCTGTATTTTATGTATATAAGTTTAGATTAGTTATTTTATGGTTGGTTTACACAGCTTGTGTTGTATGTTTGTGTATGTATGTGTATGCATGTGTATGCATGTGTAGCTGTATATATCCACACACACACGCACGTGTGTGTGTGTGTGTGTGTGTGTGTGTGTGTGTGTGTTGTGTGTGTGTGTGTGTGTGTGTGTGTGTGTGTGTGTGAATTGTGTTGCTTACATTGTTGAGATTCACCAAATTCCTTGTATGTGTCTGTGCATATACATGGCCAATAAACGCGATTCTGATTCTGAAACATTTAGGGGCGGTTGTTGGGAATTACAAGCACAGCAGTCCAATATATAAATCTTAGCACATTCATGCATCCAGTGGATTTTGGCTCACCGCAACACACTTTTTTGATTCAGAAAAGCCCGTGATGAACTCTGCTCAAATATGCCTTTACCATCATCACTTTTTGCATAGACAGTCCAGCACATCAAAACAATGACTGCACAAAGACCCCATTGGCATTGGCACAAGGTTCAGTGAGGCCAGAGGTTCGCCTCTGTTTTCCATCTTCATTTTGTTTCTTGCGTTGTTCCCCTCCTCGGCTATATACATACATAACTGTCTTCCGCCAAAGCCCCTATCAGCCTCTAAAGCCTCATCTTTCTGTCTGTGGTGCATGGAGCATGGAAACAGAAGAATGACGTCTCATTCCTGATTAGGTCAGACTGACAGCTGGGCATATTTTAACACACAAACGCACACACACCTACAAACACACACACACACTAACTTGCCATTATAGGAGAGATAAAAATGAGGAGATGATGAATTTACCAGAGTAGTACTTTGTCCTCTATTCTGTTCCCATCACTGTTGACTGAACACGGGACAAAATGATCCATGTCCAGCCCCTCCATCACCCCCACGTACCAACCACACGATCCGCCAGTGCTTAATGGTGCATTCCAATGAATCTACATTCATTCTCCACATTACTGGTACAGCTTTCACTTATTGACCCATCCCGTAGCTACTTTGTAATGGAGTCAGTGCCAATCTGATAGCTAAATTTGAGATGGAATCAATCTGCACAGGATCAATGACTTGGGAAGTAAATTATACAGGTAACCTCATCCGCTCATGCCTTTGACACAAAAAGAAAAGACGAGGAACAAAAGCGGAGATTTGAGATAAAGCAAATATGACTCCAGTGAGAGGCCTTAGCAGTAGACTGGCTGTCTTTTCACAGTGGACACTGGCATTATTAGAGCTTACCTCATAATGACATGTCATGATGATAATTTAATCTAAAGGTTAATTCTTCTTCCACACAAATATATATTTTTTTCCTGTCAGATTGCTGCTTAAGCAAATGCAAATAGCCTCAGCATCAGTCAGGATAGAGAAGGGGGAAAAGTGGCACACAGCAGTGCTGCAGTAGAAATTCAACATTATTCAAATAACTTTTAACAGTTTCATCACTACAGCCTGAATGTACAATGCCGTGTTGTTCTACTGACATCACATTTGGTCAGTGTGGTTAAAATATGTCAACTAATGGCTCACTTTAGACAGAGCAACAATCTTAAGTCGCCCTTAAGATTATTAGTCGCCCTTAAATTCATAGTAAGAAGATATAGTTTTTCTTTT